CTTTCCCTAACTCAGCTGTGTACAGTTTGGCAAACGAATCAAGTAGAAAGCCATTCAGGTTCTATTTTGCCAGCGCAATTCTGAAGGTAAAAAGTAGGGTCTTAGGTTGGGTAGTTTAGGTCAAAAGCAGTTCTATTGAATCAGCATGCAGAATGCACAATGTTCATGGAAAATAACAACCTCTTATTTCAAAATCTTACTTCTTTTGAAAGCTCCACAACCTGTACTTTTTAGAGTTGGTAAAGGCTGTTCTCCAAGCTGCCTGGTATGGGGCCGGTAGAAACAGACAGGCGTCTGTGAGGGAGGGGGTCTGTCGTTCTGCGCTCTTCAGTCAGACAAAACTTCCCTGAGCTTCGGAGATACTTTGGGCCCAGATTTTCAATGCTGTGGGCCAAATTCAAGAAACGTCTGCCATGTTTCTTCACTCTGTTCCTTTCTGTATACTTTTCTGACAAAACCTGGTAGGGGCAAACTGTATCCTTGGCATTTATATGTCACAGAGCTGCATGGTTTTGACCGTACATGCAGGACATCCTACAAAACAAGATTAGTTAAGACTTGCTAAACTTAACTTTACTTAACTTTGTCTCCTCTTCTTGTTCTGTCAGCTTCTGTCTCTGCCTTAAAGTTATTTAAACCTCATTATATTTTTGCTGATTACTTTATTGTATGTGATATAATTGTCTGGAGTTACCATGTAACAGTGTATTTGGCTAATGCAAGTTTGTGAAGCTTAACTAAAAACAACTGCAGAACTCACTGTACTGGGTGACCTCTGTCTTGCCTCACAGTTTCAGAAATAAGAGAATACTGAAGTTCATCTCTGCTTGCTGTGTTTCAGATAGGGAAAGAACATGTAGGCCTAAAGGCTGTAACTGAGATTCTCCAGGACATCCAGTACAAGGTAAGATTGCCTGAGGAAATTCTGCCTTCACTGACCAGACACGCAATAGCTCAGGGAAGGGTATATATGAAACACTGAAGCCCAGAAAATGTTTCATACTTGTTTGTAGTGAAACCACATGTGAAAGCCATAGTCCGGTGGCCTGGATCAGATCATGTATTAGCATTTTACAGTATCCCTAGGCAATGTACAGATTTTGTAGTTACTTCCTTTTCTGACCAAAGTATAGTTTGATCTCCTGTAGCAGGAACCCATTGCGAGTTTTACATTTTCAGTGATTATCAATATACAGTATGAATATAAGCACTGCAGCATGCTCAGGGATCCCCAGTAGCATCATCTCCAAACTTATCTGGGTTTATCTGTAGAACAAAAAATAGATAAACTGAACACCCATATTACTTTGCAGTAGGAAAAGAGCAATGCCGCCTTGTTGGGTGTATTATTTTTAGGGAACCTCAAGAACAGATAAGAACACTGAGATGATCAGAATTTTGATGCTATTTTTGCTATTTTGCATAACCTTGGGCAAGTTATTCATTGTCTCCTGAGTGTTGCCAGCAGGTCTAGGAAAGGGATCCTGCCCCTCTGCTCAGCTCTGGTGAGGCCGCCCCTGGATTACTGGGTGCAGTTCTGGGCTCCCCAGTACAAGAGGGATGTGGAGCTTCTAGAGAGAGTCCAATGTGGAGCTACAAAGATGATTAGGGGACTGGTGCACCTCTCATGAGCAGAGGTTGGGCCTGTTCAGCCTAAAGAAGAGAAGGTTGAGAAGGGATCTTAACAATGTATACAAATACCTCAAGGGAGGGTGTCAAGAGTTGGGGACCAGACTCTTTTCAGTGGTGGCTAGTGATAAGAGGCAACAGTCACCAGCTGAAGCCTAGGAAGTTCTACCTGAATTTGAGGAAAAATTCCTTGACTCTGAGGGTGACAGAGCACTGGAACAAGTTCCCCAGAGAGGTTGTGGAGTCTCTTTCTCTGGAGATATTCAAAACCCTGGATGTAATCCTGTGCACTGTGCTCTAGGTGACCCTTGTTGTGCAGTGGAGAACTAGATGATCCCAAAGGTCCTTTCCAGTCTTAATCATTCTGTGGTTCTATGAAATTTAATGCAGAGAATTTTAAGGTTGGAATCAGAGAGGAGCCCAGGTGCAAAAGGCATAGAGTTAAGAAGTTGTTGAGATAACCTTAGATTTAAAATACAAATTACAAAAAGAAAGGTTTTTGTATAGGTGCAAGGACAAATGCAATGATGATTAAATAGAGGCTATTAATGTGGTTGCTGTGGACAGGAATTCAAAGCTTAATATTAAAACAACACACTTTGTTTTTCCCCTCCATTCATCATCATTTTAATGAGAAACTAGAGATGAGATTGATTTGTCTTCATTTTTTCAGGGAAAGTCCAAAACAATACCTTGTTTTAATCCCAACTCTTTATTGCCAGGTAGGTGCTTTTACTTACTTTTGTGTGGGTGAATAACTGGCAAAGCTTTTTATCACTTCTGACATGGGACAATAATGTTGTCTAACATTATCTAATATATTGTCTAACACCGGAAAGAAATATTGTCTATCTGAAAGTTATGCAATGAATGCCCATCTTGTTCTTTACTGTGTCATTATCGGTTTCAAAAGCATTGCCTCTACAGTACAGCTGGATCATGGGGAGGAAGAGATCTGTGATACTCAAAGGTAGTTACAGTCCCTGTCTCCAGCATTAAAGGCACAGAGCCATGCTGGGATAAAACATATCCAGAAGAGCTTGGCTGTTTGAAGCTAATTGCAGAGGCTGAGGCAATCTTGATCAAGAGAATTGTCTGCAAGCCTATGAGAGTATCCTCTAAGGTAGCAGTGCATTTTTTAGTAGTGCATGGTGCTAATAGGAATGTGGAAAAAGTCCTTTTGGTAGTAGAAGTAACTTTTCACCTGCAGCATGTACGTGAAATGTGACGCTGCAGTGTCCCTTCAGTTCATGTGGCATGGGGAAAGCTGTGGCTAGCTTTTGTGATGGTTTCTTATCCTACCTGGTTGGGGAGCTATGTGCAATCCTTCCACAGCTTCTGCATAAAATGGGAAGCTGCTATTCCTCAAACAATGCCGGTTTTTGCTCAACGAAGGATACGTTTACCTGCTTACTTTCTATACTATACCTTGTCTTGAAAAATACATTTCTAGAAGAAATATGTTTCTTCAGTGAATGTGTCTGAACTAAATTCCGTGGCATAGTGACAAGAGCTTTAAACTAATTTTCCAAAGAAACCTCTTTCTGTATTAAACTATATTAACTGTATCAAAAGAACACTGTTTGTGTTGCAAAGTCAATTGCTCACCAATTAGGAATTGCAGGAATTAAACCTGCCTGTGGCCCTTTTTATATATACATTGTAAAACATCCTTTAATTGCAGGACCAGAAATTATTTTTTCACTGGACCCCTGCTTGAAAGTTCCTGTTAGATGAAAATCAAGTCACATAAACCTCATTTTTAACAAGTGGTCTCTAACTATGTGTTCCTCATTTTCTAGGTGCCCGACTTGAGATCATGGGGTCTGATTTGCAGAGGTACTCAGTGCTTACAGCTGCAACTGAAGTCAGTGGGAGCAGTATAATGTGCTATAGAAAGTTAACCACTCTGAGAAATCAGGTTCTAAGCATCTCATATTGCACATCTTAAGTGAATAGATGCATTTGACCTTAATCTCTCTGCTTCTCAGTTCCCCATATTTAAAATTGGAAGGTAATCTATCCTTCTTCACCACGTTGCAGTGTTGGAAAAATAAATTAATTCATGTTTTTTAAGCACTCAGACAGTGAAGAAATGAATGCTTTAGAAATACTCATAAGGAAATGAATGATTCGGTCCTTCTAACAAGCAGATTTGAATACCATGGATAAAAGTAAGGACCTAGGACCACATATAGAACAGTGGGAAAGCCAAATGTTGGAGCCGCTCTTCAAGAGAACATCATCTATCTTTGCAACTAAATCATGAGAAGTTATCCTGTCACAAGACTGTCACAGTGCATGCACAGGAAGGGCCAAATTAATTCTTGCAACTCTTAACTTTTGAGTATTTGACAATGCAACTGTCTTTCAATAGATTTCCTGTGTAATTCTCTAACTATAAAATGAAACTAATGAAGCAAAAACTATTTGCTGACAACACTTCATTAGCAATATGAAGCAATAATGCTTTATTAGCAAGGCGTGGTTCTAATGATATTCCTCTGAGCTACTAGTGAAACGGCAGTTAGGACAAATAAGCAAACTTAATTTGGTTTGCAGCATCCCGTCCTGTCAGTATCAAGCTGGTCACAGTCTCTGTCAGCATGAAACCTCCTCTGTTTCTCTTTTCTCTTGTCCCCTGTTTTCAAATCAGGCAGATTCTTCTAAATACTTTAAAAGCTATGTTGGGTAGTGTGTCCTACAGCAGAGAAGGACAGTCCTACTTAGTTTCACTTCTGAAGTATGATGTGATTGGAATCCCTAGGGAATTTAGTAATTAAAATCAAAGTTGTTACTTACGGAGGTAAAACTCCACTTGGACAAACTGTTGCACATTTTCATGAGAGACAACAGAATAATTCTTTGCATAAACTCTACATTTGTTTTCCCTGTGAAACTTAAGTTCCTTTTCCAAAGCTGGGAGGCACTAGTGTATTTCAGATAAGTATGTCATGAGGATTCTGAACTAAACAGTTTGAGCTGAATTGTTTTCGCTGTTTTTTTTTTTTACTACAAAATTAAATAAATTCATCCCTAAAACATACCCTAAACATAAAATGAGTCCAAATTTAATCACCACAGCCTTTTTTCATGCCTCTACTTTCTAAATAGGATCTTTCTGACAGCTTTTGACACAAATGTTTCCTGCCTCTGTTAGCAAGAGATAAGGAATTTAGATCTCAATCCAGCAATGAATTTTAAGCTCCATGCAATATTGGGCCTGAGATTCAAATTGACCAGAGAGACAGGAAGATATCTAATTCCTCCATCCCTTCTTTCAAACATGTGGCACAGGCACAAAGGAGGGCACGTCTAACAGTCATTACATTAGGGAATATGCAATCAGGAAACCTGGATGCTCTTTCCTACTGTATTATTTATTTATTATATAATTTTAAGGAGTCAACATATGTTATTTCTCATGTCTGTAAAATGATTATTTGTAAAAGAGTCATTGAGCATTGTATACAGCAAGTATATAGGGAGAAGTTACTGTAAAGTAAGTGAGGAGATTTACAACAGAGGAGATTTACTACACGCTGTGCTGCCGAATTAACCTTTTTCGAAGGGTAGCTAGTGACTGAACTCATGTATGTGCACATGAGAAACTGATGGATAGAACTTAGCAGGCTATAAATTCATACTTGAGCTTTCTGCATACTAACTAATTCATATGAACGAGCTATCAAAAGCTATCTTAATTAACACAGTCTTCTTCCGTAATGTCACTAAAATTCGACAATTCTTTTAATTTCAGATCCTCTACTACGTGACTACTGGGTGTACGAGGGCTCCCTGACTATTCCACCCTGCAGTGAAGGTGTCACCTGGATATTATTTCGTTATCCTTTGACTGTGTCCCAAGTGCAGGTAAAAGCTGTGCTTAAAGTGACCTTAGAATGTGGTTATGAGCTAAAGGTTATAGCGTGCAAATACATACTTCAGAGCATTATATCTGCTTCTCCTTGAAGATCCCATTAGATCAGTACATGACTTTTCAAGTAAAGGTTAAGCTTTTTGAGTCACTAAAAGCAATGTAAAGGTCAGAGATGAAAACCTTGTTACCATTTATCATCTGCATTTAAAATAATTTGTTATTAAAGTAAAAGAAAAGGAAAGAAAGAAGTCAATGGGCAAAAGAATTTCAATTCTTTGTAATCGTAAGCTTTCAAATATCACTACTTTTCATGTTGAACAAAAAAGCACAGGGAGACACTATGTCCTGGAGAATGAAAAATGTTAGCATATGTTAACTATATTGCATTGAACTCTATTTAACTTACTTTGATTTTATTTAGTTCTATTTTTACAATAAATGACTAACAAAAGCTGCCTATTTCAGTTTGCTTTAACATTTTAAGTACTTTTTTTTATAATACCTTACTTGGTTATGAAAGGATAAGACTTATTGTTGCTTGGTCTGAGTAAATGAAAACGCTGAATCTACTGGCATTATTAGATTCAGAATAACTTATAGAGTATGTTTTGTAGCATGGCATCTAATCATCAGAATATGATAAATAAGAGGACTTAATCAGAAATGTAAAGACTATAGCAATAAGGTTGAGACAATGCATGACTACTTATTTAATACTTGTTACAAATTTTGTAGTCTATATTCCCTAATTTTGTATGTCACTTGTAGAAATGTCATATATATTGAGAACTTTTAGCTTAATAAATGCTACTGTAAGAAAATAGTTTTTGTGGGCTATAGCGGTTAGAGAGGCTGTTCATAGTGCATAATTTGAAAAACCCTACAATACCAACTTGTTTTTATGCAGATCTGTGGTTAGCAACCACAGCTAGAAGCCAGGTATGCTTGCATACAGCACACAGATGTGGGCACAGTTCAAACCATCCATCCATGATGGGAAGAAGGAGTGGTGGAGATGAAAAGAAGAATTAAGAAAGTAGAAAAATATGACTTTTAGTCAATATATGTGCCCATTTACCACAAAAAGCCAATATGGTAGAATTTGGTGTGAAGGGAATAAAACTCCATATGAGAAATATTGTGCTGCCTGTGTAAAAATCCATGATTCAGCATTGCCTTTGTGCTCTAATCATTGAGCATATCTTGAATACCTCCCTTGAAGACCCTCCCATACATACATAATATATAGGGAAAAGAGTGTGATTCATGACCATGGCCTGGAGCGTTAGGTGAGGGGAAGATGGATTATACATTGCCTTGGTGAGTTATTGCATATTCTTAGCTGAGACTGGGCTAAACTAGCTAGCAGGACTGTTTGTACATTTGGGGAAGAGTAGATATGAGAGATTCAATTTAAGGAGAGATTAGAAATGCGAGAATTCTTGACTGTGGGAAAAAAAAAAAGGATGTATCATAATGTATACCATTTTGAATCATCCATGGAAGGCTGGAAAGGCATTTAGTTTTATTAAACATGCTTATAGCAGTAAAGAGTAGTTATCAGTGAAAATGCATTTCTAATTAATTTAAATATATTTTAAATGTGTCATTAACTTGCAGAACTTTATTCTGTGGGATATTAATGAACACAGTTTATGAAATTTCAAATCCTTTATATAAATTGTAGCAGTGCCTGTGATTGTAGCAGGTAAGAGACAAATTCATGACTTTCTGTTTTCATGTTAGGTCATAAAATAATCAGCTTCTGAGTGTCAATAATTATTTATACTAAAGAATGACACATCATATATGGAATAGGGTTTATTGCCTTTCTCTGATGAAGGTGAATACATTGGAGACAAGATGCTCTTTCACATTCTCATTTCCTGTAATTAACATAGCAATATTGATTAGCAATATTGACATAGTTTATTGATTATATTAACATAGAATGCTTCATAAGGGAAAATAAAGTGAATAAAATCACAATTCTTCTTCATAGGCATGTATGAATAATTTCATATTTGCTTATCATAGAAACAATAGAGTGGCAAGTATTTTCCCATATATGTAACAGGCTGGCCATTTCAAAGCAGAGAATCTTTTTTGCCTGAAAACAATTTTAGATGGTAAAGTTCAACTGAGTTGCTCCTGATTTAAGCCAATATAAATAAAAGAAGAATCATCTCCATATGAATATAATTTGAGCTGCTGTGGTCTGAACATGTGAGTTATATGAATAGCAGAAGAGCAAACTGGGAGTGCAGCATCAGTGTTTGCATTCCTAGAGTCTGATTCTGCTTACATGGAAAACAGTGACTTGATGCTGCTCTCCTTACTTCCCTCTGAGAGCGGTTTTTTTCACAAATATTTCTATGAAGTCTGGATGAAGTGTGCAAGTGATGTTGTCCACTGAGAATAAGGGCTTTGCAATCTGATTCTTGGAGTTATATTATTGACCTCAGTGGAAAGGAGGTCAAGTCATGTCTGGAAAGATGCCTTGTGCTATTGACAGGATTTTTTTTTTATACCTTCCTTTTTTTATACCTTCCTTTTTGTTTTTATCATGCTCACTTGTCTCTTGTTAAAATATACAGCAGAGAGAGGATAAAGTGTTGACTGCTGTTGTGAGACACTTAACCCATGTGTGTTGATTACAGAAATATAATGAAATGCCCCTCCGAGTAGGCCTGTGAAGAACAGGAAAAATGCAGAAAGGCTCGCTCGTGCTTTTCTCTACTATATATTTTTAAAATTGGATGTTTGTGAATAATTTGCATTGTGGTTCACTGAAGCACAGAAAAGTATATTGTCCAAGGCAGTCAGAGCAGGGCTCATAAACAGTGATACAATGAGGAGCTTGTTGTTCTGCTGCACTCATCGTCAGAGTTAACTGCTTTTGTATTGAGCAGCCTGGTCCTTTGTCTTACTGATATAAAATCAAATCATCTTAAAGAACAGAAATAGTAACTAGCACAGGCAGAGTGGAAATTATGCAAATCTGTGTGGTCTGAAATAAAGTACTCAGTAAAGTTCATGGTATTCTGCTCACTGGGAAACTGGTCTGTTTTCATGAAGGTATGTGAAATTTTCAAGGAAAATTTTAATGCTCCTGTTCCTCATATAAAAGAAATATGCATAGAGAAAACTGCAGATATTCTCCATTTTGTTTATTCTTTTCTTCAGTAAGTATTTAATTAAAATGGACTAAAGCAATATTAAGCATTGCAGGGAAATGATATTAACATTCACTGAAAACTGTTCAAAGAAGTGTAAACTTTGTTCAGTAGAAATGTGGAGGTTAGCACTGTGGATTTACTCTTCTTGTGGGTAGAATCCGATCCTGAATTTCCGTGTGAACAGGTCAGGGTCTTCTGTGCATGAGAAGAATATTTATACATGGCTATTTCTATTGAAGGTGTTGAATATCATAGGTATTGAATATCATAGGATCTTATCTGTATCTGCCAAAAGTGCTAATTTCCTCTATAACCTTATAAGCTATACTGCACAGCACTGATTTGTGAGAGGTTTGGGGTAAGAAAGTGGAGAGAAGAAAGTAACTGATCCCATGTTAGAAGCAGAATTAGTGAGACGCACATATCCTTATCCACACGGAAATTTCCACATGGAAAGAACCACTTCTCAAGAGTGAAGATCTCTGTCAGATGGATCTGAATCGCAATATCAAAGACTGAACAAGGAGACTGGCAGGCTCGGAAGTGATTCCCCCTCCAAAGTGAGCCTGCAATTCCTGAATTCCTTGCAGACTAGAGGATAGGCATAGGCATCAGGCCAGTTCTGCTTTCTTGGTTGAAGCAACTGGAATCTGCTTTGTGAGGAGAACCTCCTGGAGAGAGTTTCCACTGTACAGATCGGAGCAGAGCATTTTTAGTTACATTAGTAGATAGTTCACAAAAGGCCAACCTGCACAGAGTCAGCTTTCCCCTCTCCTTCAGCTGTGTTTATTTGAAATCTCTCATTCTCAGTAGATAAAAAAAAATCCACAGTCTTGTAAAATGTTCCTGCCTAAACTACATTTATTTCAGACTTTGCAATATTGTTTCAGTTCAACGATGATGAATGAGGCTGTCTTACAGAACCCATTCAGTGATTTGCCAGCGTTTGAATCCCAAAGACTTTTTTAGTTTACAAACCTGTAGTGGGTTTGTTTTCAGTTCAATTTAAAACATAAAAAACCCCTTTCGAAATAGAGATCTGCCTTTAAAAACACTTTAGAAGAGTTTCCTAAGTTTTTCTGCCTTTCGCCTTTTCAGTCTAAGTTGCTGCTTTATATCTCAGCTGCAAGAAGTAAAAGAGTGTTGATTTCTAGGTACAGAGGTACAGCAGACTTGAGGAAAGATGGATAGATTTTTGTAGTCTTGTATCACACACATCTCGATGATGAGTATGGAGATGAAAACTACAGGCATTTATTACCAATCTAAAATCCCAGATAAGATAAAACTGAGAAATCTCAAAAAATGAGATAAATAAGTCATATATGTCCTTTGGATTGACTGAAATATTTAGCACCTAAATCTAAAGAAACTTCGAAGGGTGGTTTCATTTTGATTCGAAAAAACATGATAATTTTCCATGTAAGATGTTAATATATATTTTATCTAAAATTGAGAGTCTGATCAAAATACTCCTAGTTTAACAAACTTTTTTTTTTTAGGAAGCAACTATTTAAGGCAGTGTTCATCAACAATTCACATCACTGAAAAAAAATTATGACAGTTTACAGTTCACTGAGTTATTCCTGAAATGTACTTTTTTGAAGAAGACCAGAATGATTACCCCAATATAACAACTCAGGGTTTGATTTGTGGGATGTACTCTACAATGGGTATGAGGAGTATAAATCCCTCCCGGATTGATGAAAATGTGAAGGATAAGTTTGCAAAAACATGTGCATGAAAGTTCTTATTCATTTTAATATTCATTGTTACCAGCTCAAAATAATTGACAACACCATCGAAACATATAACATAGAAAAAAATAAGAATCATTAGTCCCATGGTGAAGAATGTATTGCAGCTTCTTCATGTTTGTTTTTTACCTTTCAGATAGAAGAATTTCGTAGACTGAGGACACATGTTAAAGGCGCAGAACTTCTAGAGGGCTGTGATGGAATCTTAGGGGACAACTTCAGACCAACTCAGCCACTTAGTGACAGAGTCATCAGGGCTGCATTCCAGTAGCAGAAGAGGAAGGCAAACAAAAATAAATCATTATTCTGGTAAGTAAAAGCTTAGTAGAAAACTCAAAACATTTAAATTTAATTTTCACTGGGGAGATTTTGCTAGAGGAGAAAAAATGCACAGAATATATTGTCACAATTGTAAATCTTGACTCTGTGATATTTTATTTTGACATGTGGTAAAGGAGGGTTTGCTTACCTTTCTGAAATGCTAAGGATCAAGTTTCTCAATGTCTAGAAACTAATATAAAATGTAATTAATTGAAGTCTTTGTGTTGAGATAGTGGATCAAGCACGGTTAAATCACAGTTATTTCATGCAGCTTAAAAAATTCTCCATCTGCAGTGAGCAGTAACCAATACCTAAGGTTATGTGATAGATTTCCCAGTTAGGTAGGTGCACTGGTTGATAATTTTTTAAAGTTTTTTTTATAGAATCAGTCATTGGCAAGTCTTTCTTGTGTTATACTCTTAAGAAATAGTGCTAATTCGGGAATTCTGGATCGCTTCTCCTTGTGTTAGAATGCTGTACTTTTCCAGCCCAACAATGAGTCTTATGCAAAACAAGTGCAGATACAAGAGGAGACTGATTAATTAACTTCTGTCACTACTAATTTTTCACATTATTTCATTTATCAAGGTAGCTGTTGCTTCTTATTCTCGCTCTTGTTTCTAGTCCCCACTGACTCACAGAGCAAGAATTTAGAGATAACTTTGGATTCAGTGCACGAGAGCTAATACACATGTGAACCTGCATTATCCACACGTGAGCTATTAAAACCTCCCATGTCATGTTCCCCCGGCCTCCATCAATTACAAGGAATATTCCCTCAATGCTCTCCTGTTACTCACTAAACCTCATTACACTTAGGCAATCAATGATTTACTAAATGAAAAGCCTAGTAATGAGATTCTTAGAGACTTAAATTGAAGAAAATTCACTATCAAGACTAGTTGCCATAGAAGTAGTAAGTCAGACAACAACATTTATGGTTGATTTTGCAATAGAAGTGTTCTAACCTATCACTAATAAGAGAGTTCTTCAAAAAGGAACAAAAATCCTCTTTTGCTTTCTGTAATAAGTAAGTCCTGCATTTTTGTAACACAAATTTAAAAAGTTTTCAACTAGTATTAAGTAATAAAACAAGCCTATTGGGTTGTTCATTAAATAAAATTGATTATGCTTTTTTGTACTAATAGAACATCAGCTTTTCTATCTGCACATTCCTTCAAAACTATATACTCACAAGGAGAACCAATTTATTCAGAGTTTCACCTGCAAGAATACTACTGAAATGTTTTGATGTGCATGGTGAGGAAAGGATATTTATTTGTGCATTCAATTTTTTGTCCTAAGCCAGTGACAGAATTCCTTATATCACTTCGGCCTCTGAGTCAAGCTTTTTCCTATTATGCTCTAGGCCCAGCCTCCAACTTCACATGAAGTTAACAAATGATCAGGCAATAAATAACCCCTGACATGGATTAATAATTTAAAGTTTCCAAAAATTGATGTATTGGAATATTATCTTGTGACAGAAATTATTAAATTGGCTGGGACAGTGGCCAACAATTTAATGAAGGTCTTTCAATATAATGTAAGCACTGAAATATTTTCTAAGTAAGCATTTCTTTGTATTTTATAACCTTATTTAATATCAGCATCCCAGAATTTCAGTGAAGAAAACAAAACATTGGTCCTTCCATTAATATTTTATTCTCATTCCCATATTTAATTTTGGGCATATCTCTAAGCCTAAATTACATGGTTCTCTGCAATCACAAAATGTCGTCAGTTTAATCTCGAAATGGATAATTCAAATTCAACCCAACTTCTGCATAAAAATTACTTGGGAAAATCATAGCAATATTAAAGTACAATTTTTCTCTCGGTGAATAATGCCCTAAGGCCAATGCAGGTAATTCAAGTCTCTGTAACAGTGAAATTACTTGACATGCTGACTTTGAATTTTAAGCATGAAAGAGTTTTACAACTGCTGGAGTTGAAATGTGAAAATTTCTCTTTTGCTTTCATGTTTAAAAATTTATTGCACTTGCCAACAATTATAAAAAAATGTTTTAAATAATATTTACCTTGGCCATGCTTTAAAAAATGATCTACAGCTTTAATTCCTAAATGATAGAATTTTTAATATAAAATCATAGTATTCACTGTAGGGCTGTGCTAATTATGGATGCTCAAGCACTGAAAAATAATTGTGACTATAGACACTGTGAGGATACAAGGAAAACATGGGCTTTAGCTCTCCTGATTGAATTACTTATCAGAAATTCATTTGGGCAAGTCCTCCTTTTAGTTTTGGGTGCATCAGTCTTAATAGCACAGAAGCGATCAGGGGTTCACATTATATTCTTGCTGCTGAGTTTGTCTCTCATGCCCTGGGAGCTAGATACTTGAAGTCTAAAAAGAAACCATGTGGCTTTGATCACCTCCAGAAGAGGAAGAAAACTTTTCCTCACACTGTTTTCTCCAGGAGTAAGACAGCAGTTCCCCACAAAGATCAGGTATGCTCAGAAAAGGCCTCTTCTGTCTTTCATAGGATTAAATAATTGTCCTTTGATTGGGACTCCCTGTGTAGCAATAGCAGACAGAGAGATCGTTAAAATGCTAAGGGATCGTTCTAGGCCCAAGCAATAGGAGAGAATAATTTAGGGTGGGAGTAAGAGAGACAGCATACGTGGTATTGCAGAGACCATCTGCATGGTATCGTGGGGTCTGAACGGACAAACAAGAAGTGGCACAGCCCTAGTTTCATAACGGAGAATAAGGAGAGAGGGAAATACGGTGGCAGTACCCATGACATTTGATAAATGCGTGGTGCACCTTTATTTTTGGAGCTGCTGAAATGCTTTTGTGGCAGCAAACCCATGTGGCAGCCAACCCATGTGCTACCCCTTCCTTAGGGTGCTGAACGGAGGGTCAGTGTTGCCAGTGGGAGTGAATTCACATTAAACAGGTGGTTCTGCATGCCCCTCTTTGTGACACTGCCAGACATGTATGACACTGGTAGAGCAAACATTATGAAAGGACATTTAGATAAAGAGTGAGCTGTGAAGTTGTGCCCTGCCTTCGAGTACTGGAGTTAAGAACAGTGTGATTGTATTTGTCATTTTTTTTGTCGAAGCAGAACTCAGTGAACTTCACACTTTACCAGTAAGTATACCTCTGTCCTTTCAGTTACTGGTAGCTTTTGTGGTTCCTAGAAGTTCACAGACAGGTTGCTCTGAGGAGGTTCCTACACTCAGAGATTTTATACTTTCTGTTGATTCAAACCTGGACTAAGCTTTCAACATCTATGTATCATTAAGCTATTATGACCATTCCTCTCTTTTCTCTGGTTTAAAAAAACAAAACTACTATCAACACCAGCTGTTTAGAAGTATAAATACTGATTTCCTAGATGGGATGAAATAGGGTATTTGTTCTGCTTCTCAGTGATTTTTCATCTGTCATTCATTGTTCTTCTCTATGAGTTTAGATTTTGTGCTTAGGAAGGAGCTGGTGTAATTGTTGTTTCAGTCCTTGAAAGAGGCTCAGCATTATTTTATCAACAAAACTGAGCACTGTTCTCTTCTCTTTAAGACCTTCTGAACAGTGCACAACACTGCTGCCGCTTCAGCATACTTGAGAGTGTGATTACATCTGAGAGCATGAGCAGACCATGGGACAGATGCTCTTGGCTTGTGAAACACCCACTATAATCTGAGCACTCCTGGAAATGTGCCAGGAACACAGAGGAGTTCAGGGGAGGAAGAGCTTGGGGAATGGTTGAAAGGTGCTGCCTTCCCAGGTAGCCTCACACTTCTTCATTGTAGTAACAGGGACCAGGATGTGAGCTTGACCCTGCGATGTCAGCCTGACTTGTTTTCCTGCAGTTGAGGAATTAGTTTGATTAGGAGAGGAAATGAGTGAGCAGCAACTGGCTACTTCTCTTGCTTGTGGGATGTGTCTCTGGCACAGGGACCACAGTTTAATGTTTCAGTAGCCATGGGCAGCTCAAGAGTCACAGACTGGCCACCACTGTAGTAGAAGCCAGAACATCAATACAGAGAATCATCAAGCCCCAGAAGAGGAAGAAAAGGAAGAAAACCATTTAAAATTGTAGTTGCTTCCAGAATTAATAACATACTGGAATTTCCTTGTTCAATCCTTTACTGAGCAGCTTTTAGAAAAACACGAATGCTACTGGAGAAATGAAAAACTGGAAGAAGGAAACAAAAAGGAACAAAATACTGCCTCTTTTTTGAAACTAAACAAAATCATAATGTAGCCTAGGAATCAGACTTCTGCTAAGTGCTTTAGATATGACTCATTCACTTCATGTTGATAAGGGCTCCCAAATTACTCTTTGTCATCAGTCCTTCTTTGAAACACATTGCGAGAGCATAAGCCACGTTTAGTTTGTGCACTGCTACTTGGAAACTGATAGTATAATCAAGAACACTTGTCAATAAAACCAACGTGGCATGTTTATTGGCAATTTCAACAGAAAAGCTAGGGTCTGAACACACTGAGACCTTGCTATGTTGATTCTACTTGTGGGGAAAACTGCAGCAAAATAGTAGTGAGGGAATATGGTAGGAAGTTTACATATTTTTCTTTTTTGATAAATCTACATATTTTGTAAAGTTTAAGGACTCTGGATTAGTAACTACAAAATGTAGTGATGTCACAGCTCTCAAGTGTCAGGGATATTAGAAGGACACGTGTCTGCTCGTGCACACGGAGAACAAAACATACAACATGCAGATGCTTCTTCAGCAGTGTTATACAAGATGTCAGGAAGTGCAGTATGCTCTCTCTTATCTAGAGAAAATCATGCTGGGAAATTAAAGCAGAATGTTATTGGAGCTGAGAGTCCCAATATTCAGTTCTTTATTCTTTTTGGAATTTTGAACTCTTTTATATGGATGAAAATCATCCATATGCATGCAAATCATGCATTTTGCAAACAAAGTTTTATTAACCGGGTAGTAAAGTCTGAAAAACAGAAAACAAAGTGGATGGATAAAGTTACTTGGAAGTCTGAAGACATTGGTGATAGTTCTCACTCAAGAAAGAGAATGCTAATGCTAATAATAATTAACAATATTTCATAACTAACACCAGCGTCTATGAAATATAGAATGGTGTTAAAAAAACAAAAGATATTCGTAATTTAGAAACGTATTTATACATCACCACAGCTCAAGATACACTTTATTTAGGCAGGTGCTGTTAGATGCACAGAGCCACATGTGGACCATGGCTCTGGGTAAACTGTGATCTTGTCAAGGAAGATGTTACAGGAAACATGAAAATTAATGAAGTAGTGAGTGTTCTGAGACACTCTGAAATCCATGCCTGACCATGCTTTCAGTGTTGTCTTTTAGGTGGATAGGAGAATGGTAATGTGTAGTCACTGTCAAAGTGATCTTACTACTCATATCCTTCTTTTTTTTTTTTTTATTTTTTTAACCTAGGCTTTTCCTAAACCTAGTCTTTTCTTAACTAGTTTAACTTAGTACTAAGAAGGAAACAACAGTCTTTCTCAGAGACAAAATGGAGATATTGTGTGAGGCAACAATGGTAATGAAAATGACAAAAGAAGTGGAAAACCTGTCCAGAAAGGGGAGTCTACTTTTAAGTAGCAAAAGAATGTTTTTCATCTTGTGTAGTGATCTTGGCTTAAGACTGCTGCTGTGGAGTATCTCCTTTCCTCCTTGTCAGATGGAATGCATATTATCATGGCCATCCAATTTCATTTCTCCATACTCCATTTGTATGCACTTTTCCAACACTTTTGGAAGACTTTAAAAGTATTATTTGCACTGAATTTTGCTTACATCTTTTCTCTTATATAGGTGTATTCTATTACTATGGAAACCTGGGACCTTTGGTTCTTAAAAATACAGTGGTGTGAATCCCTCTGTGATCCCACCCCCTGTTTTTTGTCAGCCTGCCTTGTCAGTTTTGCTCAGCCTGGCTAATGTTTCTTTGCTTTAAACCACAGTTATTGGTGAAAGAACCCTCAATTTCCCCAGCTATTTACAGTTTGTGATTCTGACAGCTTTCCTTTGTGGATAGGTGCCTCACCAGCAGAGAACTGCTCCCAGAGCAGTGAGGCTTCCTTCGTGTGTAGCGCTCAATCCAAGCAAAGAAAACCACAGAGGCAGGGGTATAAACTTCAATGTAGGCAGTTTTCTGATTATAACGCACATGCACATTTGTATAATATTTTGCTCAATTATTACATTTCCAAAAACCCTTCAGAAGAAGAAGAGAAGCAGGTGTCTTGATTTACATAAACCTGAATAGTGTGATGCTGGACCATATATATTGTTAAAAAGTGCTTTGAATTTAGCATGGTAGAAAAATTATTCTTAAACAAGAATAATGGGTAAACATAAGTAACAACACTACTAATATATGCAATTAGGCTTTTGTCAGACAATATATTGTTTGTTTCTATAACAAACACAACTGATACCTTCAGACAACTAACAACTAGGCTCCTTCCCGAAAGTAATTATTTAAAACAATAGCTGCCAAATCCTAGTTCAACTTAATTTCACTGACTTTGTTTGTCACCAAATGCTTTGTAACGAAAAGCATTAAGCTTGAACTAGTGAAAAATATACAAAGTGTGCATTCAATTAAGGAGTAATTAGATACTCAATCACCCTTATATCACACTAGGGATTAGCCAGGAAGATACTACTGGCTGTAGTGTATAGAACAGTTTTGTTAATTATTTTAGTACTAATTGAGATTGAGAAGGTGTCACTGTGTCACAGCATTAGTTTGCCTACATGGAACCTTAGGAACACAAAGTTTCTGGTTTCTTCTGAGCATACTGGCTCAGGTTGTTCAATGTCCCAATACCTTCTGTCCACTCAAGAGAAATCTTTATGTTTACTTCTAGAGGTGTTTGGTCACTACACACTCATATCAGCAGTCCACTGAAAAATATACCAAGAGTTTTTCAAAACAGCAAAATAGCGTATAGCAAAAATAACTTATTTTGTTATCAGAGCCCCAGGAAGAACTGAGCCTCTGATACAGTATTATTTAAAACATGACTAAAATTAGCTACATTGTGAAGGGCTTGCAGTCCCCTTTCGAAGGGAGCCAGTAGAAAGTTCTTGAAGTTGAATATCAAAAAGTCCTGCTGCCAGACCTTGTGGCTTTAGGGAATATTGGAACAGGAAATCACTGCATAGATTATCTTGTGTGTAGACATCAATTTCTTGATTGCACTTTTGGTGACTGGCTACCTCTACGCTACCTTTGTCTTTAAAGTATTGGGAACTCTATACAGAGGTGTTGACTGCCTCTAAGCAAAGGTAGCCCCAAGTGATTATTTCTACCCAAACACTTGAGGATTGATGCATTATTGTATGATTATCATTGCTTATGATTGCTTATTGAGCATGCTTATTGAGCTATAACTGGCACTGAAATAACCTCAGGAAAAAAATGAGATGATAGCAGAATAGAATGAAATGTCATTCTCATAGCTATCACTAACTGAGAAGCACTGAGGTAATATGAGCAGCTGATTTCCTAAGGTTATGCTGAAACGTAGTATGTGTTTTCATGAAGCCAAGTACCGTCTTTATGTCTACCACTAATGAATTTTACTGCTATTAGGAGGGACAAATTGGGTCATTGCCTTCTATCTCCTCAGCACATCTTGACACCCATGAGAGCTGTGTACTCAGCACTTCATACAGTAGGGCCCCTAAGATGGTAAATGGTAAAATATTCTGTGTGGCTAGTACAGTTTCCTTCCTAGTCTACAGCTACGATCTTCACATTAGCATCAATTACCTGATTCATTCAGAAAGCCAATAGAAAAGCTTTGTTTCAAGGTAATACTGTTACCACTGCATTTAATGTTGCACTTTCATTGCCATTTCCTCCGTTCCTGCTAAAACTTCCAGCATTGGCTTGAGACTCAAGGAGAAGAATCAGGCCCATTATGTCACCAAGTATATGCCCTGAAACACCCCCCACCTGCTGTCATGAAACCCCTGCTTTTAGTTTCCCCTGTCTCCCTGGCTGGACATAAACAGTCTTTCAGACCTACTGCGGAGGAATTTCAGTAGCATAATTGTTCTATTCTCTTTGCAGAGAGGGTGAAGACAATGCTCCCACAGTGCCCTTGGATGAGAAATGGAAACTTTGGAGACTGGTGCTTCAGCTCAGCCACAAAGCCTGCATTGTTTGCCTTCATCTAATTCAGCCTTGATAGACAGCTGTGACAGTTGCTCTGTCCGCATGGTCCAGTGAAATTCTGGGAATGGGTCTGTACATTAAAAGAAAAAAAAAACATATTAAATCTTCCAATTCACACTGTTACCTATCTAAAAATAGTAATTATCATTACTTACACAGTGTCTTTACTATAGCATTCAACAATGGTTTGTGATCCAACTAGTACTAGTTTTAAGCTTGGTATGGATGTTACTATATATAGAAATACTCATCATTGTTTTGAATTTTGGATTTAATTTTGTTTTGTTGCATTTCTTGTGCTGTAATTAACTAATGTATTTTCTGTAGAGAGGAAGTGCATTCTATAAAGGTAATAAAAGCATTCTTTCTGCACAGAGGATATTGTATAAATTTGGAAATAAGTTTGGGACAGAAGATAACACTTTGGTGCGCAATCTGTACAGTTAAAGTGGTTTAGCTGAATAAAGCTGGGTGACATTTACATTTTACTAGGAGCCTTTTTGAAATAAGGGACCACTTTGAAATAAGGAAAATTAACCAATGTACCAATAAACAGAGTCATCTGGATTATTATCTACTTGGTAAGTCATGGAACTTTGCGGAGAGATGTTCTATTCAGGCAGAAAATTATAGGCTTTTGTCCTCCTGGGAATTATGACAGTTCCACTTATTTCTGCATGTTGCTGAGGATGGTGATCTGGGGACCTGCTCTGCATGTCTGTAGCTCACTGCACAGCATGAGGTTTGCCACGCTGGGCCACACAGTACACAGTGCAAAACAGAAAAGGGAAAGGTAGTCTAAGCCAGTTAATCAAGCTCATAGCTTCTGATTCCTACGCAACATGCAGAGTTGAAAGACAGAGTCAATAACATGGTGGGAAGTAGCTTTGATCACCACAGGTATCAGCATGCTCCATTTTACCAGCGTGAAGAGGGCAGGTTTATGCAGAGACCTACGTGAGTGGAGGGAAGCTGGAGGCACAGGTGGCAAGCTCCAGGCAGGAGCACCATAGAGGTGCAGAGGGTTCATAAAGGAGAGGAACTCGCTGAGAACAGACTGGTGAATCATCAGTCACAAAGTCAGCACCATGCAGCGATCAGCGCAGGTCGCAAGGCGTCCTTAATCCACTTCTTCAGAGTGACTGCTGAATAAGGAGTTATGAATTCTCAGTCATTTATGTGCAAATTAAGGGCAGCAGGAACAATAGGACAAACCCACATACCATGTATGAACTGGATAAGAGGAGTCAATGCTGATCACTACTTCATGTGTTCCCTAGTGTGTACTGCAGAACCATTTGTTACTGCCTGAGATATCCAGCTGCCCTTCACATCATGTATGCAGTGAATGCATAGAAAACACACAGCATGCAGCCTCTCATGAAGTTGTCTGCTCAGGAGAGCTATAATAGCTGAATTACTCTTTTTACCTGTAGAAACTCTTTGTGTTTTTAGGATTATGCTTTAGAAAGCCCCTCACCATCTCCTGACCAAATTCAATGAAGTATGACCACATTTGGTAGACAAGAGGATCATAATTTCAGTGCAAGCCAAAAACACCCAACCTATCTGCAATGTGTGCAACTGTCACACATTTCCATAGTGGCAAAGTAGTAGCTCCACTGGCTACTGCCCTTCATCCTTCACTGGCATCTGCAGTTGGAGGCCAACCTAAGACACTGGGTTCAGCCTCCTGCTGACCCACATCTTGCATCTCTGCGTGAGGTCTGCTACAAATAAAACAATGTCTGGCCTGCAAAGGCTAGACTGAACTCAATGCAATTTTTGACGGCAGCCTCATAGTGTTGAGCTGTTGTTGAGTTGGGCTCTAGAGATACAAAAAGAAAAAAAAAAGACAAAAAAACGTAAGTGGCAGAAATCAACCAATTTCTGACAGTTTAAAACCCATCCCTATATGCTTGTACACAGCAATAAAGGACACCTTCAAAAATGGAGCGAACCAAATTCTGAGTTCAGCAATTCCCAGATTACATCTACAGCTCATCCAGAAGATCTTTTCACTTTGCATGTAACATTATTAACTACTGAATATTAGCTGAGAGTAACTGTAATATAAATATGGCAAATACTAATGTTATGATGAAATCTGAACTAGATTTATTCTCTAAATAAATGTGTTCCTTATCTTGGACCTGGACATTATTATTCTGGCCTTGAAAGAAGGATATATTGCAATTCAAATGATGTAACGTCTCCCCTAAAAAACCCGAAGTCCATCATTTCCCTTTCCTGTGTTCCCTTCCTGTGTTTACTGTTCTTTACTGCATTGCCTTGTACAGTGAAGTTCTTGTCAGATAAATTTTGTAGCTGAAGGAGCAACTGAGAGTAACAAATTTATCTCAACATTAGTGAGACTTTTTAGGCCTTTCTGAAGGCTTGGCTTTGAAAGAAAAGAAAAAAAAGTAAAAAAATGCTTAAAATGTATTTTGTCTTTAGAAATAGATCTAATTATAAGAATAAATTCATTCACAAAACTTTCCTGTTCTAGTTACAGCTTGGTCAACCTAAATTCTTGGTGTGCTCGGAAAAGCTAAATTAGTCTTTCTGAATTCAGGGAGAATCCATAGGAAGGAGCTTGCAGCATGGATTCTCTGTGTATTACTTCAGTTACACTGCACCTGAGAGGTTTTACTGAGTTTGGTAAAGCTCTGTTAGTCTTCAGAGTTCTACATTCTTGCCATTCTATTATTATTTTTAAGAAATTGTAAAAATGGATAAAGGTATTCTTAGAGCAGTATAGTGCCCTAAATTAATAATTTCCTTTCTAAGCCTCCCCTGCTGAAGATCTAAATTAAATTCCTATATGCACTGAAACTGTTTTTAGGGATAATTTTTAATGTGTGCAGCACTCCATATAATTATTAGAAACATGAATTAAAAGTTTCAAGGAGGTATGTTGAGGCTAGAATAAGTTTGCAGACAGCAGCTACTTCTTGATCAAGAAATTTATGACCTAATATGTCAAAACAGCTGTAGGCTTCCTGAGGCAAAAACTGGCTCTGCTGCCTTCAGGTGCATTTTTGGGTAGTGCAGAGAATAAGCTGTTGAGAGGAGGCAACTGAGGTGGAGCAGGACTGTTGTAGGTCTTCCCACCATAGGTTTGGTTCTTTTGTAGCTTCTTGGAACTCCCAGGAAATTTTAGAAGCCTAAAACTCTTAGTTTATGTTAGACTATGGCACAACACACTTTGCACTCCGGGCTGTGGTCCTGGACTCCTTTTTGTGAGATCAGAGGAACCTCTTGGAGGGCACTATGACTCCCTCTGCCTCCCCTATGCACTGGCTCTCCCCTTCCTTTGCAGGGACACCAAGGCACAGATGGAGCAGCAGCAGATCGTAGGCCTGACCTGGAATATGCTTGGAAGGGAACCAGTGCATAGACTGGCATGGGATGAAGGATAGACTTGACCCCGGACATTACAGTGATAAACCCTGTAGAGCAGCCAGATACAAAAGCTTTGCCTAAACTAGAGTAGTGAGTCTACCAGGAAATACAGGGCAAAAGGGCAAGGTCTCCAAACTGCCAGGTTGCAAACATCAGCTCAGTCTTTCCTGGCCTAAATTTAACTGGGAGGCACAGCACTGGTGCTGTAATGGCCTCGTACAAGTTAATCCTTTCATGGATGTCAAGTCAACCCCAGTGAGAATGAGGAAGAGTTTTCTTCCTTTTACAAATGGGGACATCCCTTGGTGAACGAAGGCAGTAGGGAGAAAGGAGAAGACCCTCACAGAGGTAAAGACTATGAAAAGAGAACAAGTCTTAGCTTGCTGTTTTTTCTCCGATTCTGGGCTTCATGACGGCACCATCAGCCTTGGAGCCAGCTCATTCTTTGTAAACCTATGTTTTCTGCCAAAATACCAAGCAGCTGGGGAACCATTCACCCCATCTCCTGAGACTGTGTTTGGGAGTTTTTACATGCATGTGTATTTAAGAAACTCTATCAGTCATTGTAGACATATATCAGTGTGAATAGTCATATCTTTAGAATGCAATGCAATGAAAAACTAGTTTTAAAGCAAAGTTTAAAATGAAATTTAAAACTTCCAATAAAAGATAAGAATGTGTGCCTAATACGAAGTCACCACCACTGTACATCTGCAGGTAGCATTTGGATGAGCAAGTATTTTTTTATTTTGCTAAAGCATTTGAGAAGGCTGGTGTTTCAAGCACAAAACTAACCCGTATGGACTTATTTATTTCAGATAATGTTTGTCTCTGAGCTGGAGACAAAAACATCTTAATCTTATATAAACTCCTTGCATCCCTTAGGCTTTGTATAAATACACGCTACAAGCAGTGTTTTCTGAAGTGCCTCCCATCTAAACATCTGACACTGGTGAGCATGAGACAAATGAAAGCCATGATAACACAGTGAAACACATATAACCGCATATGATACATCATGTCAGGAGTATTTCTAAGTGGCAGGTGTAAGGCAATTCTGGAAAATGTATGTTTAAACTCATGTTATGAAGATGCCAGATTTTTTTTCTGATGTACTAGCGGGTAATGGGAAATGAATTTCATTACTTTGGATCATAATTAGAAAAAGGCTTGATCTCTTTAGTTGGATAATTTTATGTGTGCCTGAACAAAAAGAAAAATAAGCAAACCAAAGGTAGCAGAAAGATTTATTCATGGCTTAGAAATATGCACTATTCACATAGATAAGGAAATGTTTACTCAGGAGACAAATCTAAAACAAACACAAAAACCCTGAGAGCCATGTGCTCTTGGCAGGGAAGCCAGTAATGATTATCAAGTGCTTGAGTCTCAGTGTGAAATTAGAGGCTGTGATTTAGCAGATGTGCTGCAGCATTTTGAACCTCCCTGATTTCGCGGTATTGTCTAGTTTGATCACCTCAGTAATGCACAACTTAAAAAGAAATCCTAGAAGCACAAGAAGCCAGAGTGCCTCAAAATATTCACAACCATGGCCAAAATGAATGACAAATGGGCTTACAGAGCCAATGAATATGTTTTCAACAGAACCAAGGCATCTGGCCTTCAGGTTACTTCAGGCTGTGTGAATTTTTTTTAGGTGTCCTGTAAAGTAATTGCACTATATTATCTGGCCACTAGATGTCTGCATACTATAGAGCTTCAGGCGGTGTTTGGTCCCCAGTATAAAATGCAGACAAAGAAAATTCAATGTCTGTGGATGTTTGCCTGTATAATAATCTGGTATCAGCTTTTTTTTTTTTTTTTTCTTTTTTTTTTCTGACATGTGCCCCCTGTTAAAGGATGTAGCTGTGGGCTAAGAGAAAATCTTCAAGGAGATTACATATATGAAAATTGAGAGTGGTTTCTTTTTTAAAAAAGGAAAGAAAACCATGGATTAAGCCATCTGCTGAGG